AYTATGTGGTAGTTGCAAGTCARCAAGCAACTACAAGTTTGCTGGAACATAAACGTTTTCTCTCATAGTCAACAAAACACTATTYGTCCAAACATCAGAATTATCTAGAACGGACAGCTTGAATTTGGGTCAAAATTTACCCATTTTCAGGAGACTACCTTAACTGATTAAGAACAGTAGCTCCAGGACATGGTAAAACCAGTTGAAGAAATTCCTGGTTGTCTCTGCCACCCATTCTTACTCTTGCCCTAATTCACTGCCCAGGTTTTAAAAAGCCGTTTCTGAAGGATTAAATGTCCACTACCTGTGTTTTAAGGGTGTCTCAGAAGCCTCAAAAGAGGAGGATAGCTTTACACTCATCTAGATAACAGCTTACTTATATTTCCAGGCAACAGGACAAGTGCCAGCCACGGGGAAACCATGGCACTCCATGGCGGAAGGATTCCCATCCAGTAACACAGTGTTTTGGTGGGACAAGAACATGCAAGAAACAACAGTGTGAGCAAGGCCAGGCTTGCTATGTCTACAGCTTCCCGCTCCTTGCTCTCCTCTTCCCAAGTGGTTGTCAAGAGAACAGAAGTCAAGGAGGAGGTAACAAAAACACAGCTCAGAGCCAGCAATCGCCTCCTCTCCTTACCCAGCCCTGCTGTGGAGATGTGTATTTTGTTCTGCCATAAACATCACAGCCCCAAATCCCATCCTGCCTGACCAATTCTAAGCCAAGCTCTGAGCTTTCCTAGCCCAGCCTAACTATTCCTGCCTTAGGTCTTTTCTCCCTCATCCAACTGAACCTCCATTCTAGGGGGCTGATCTATGGACACAGCAGAGCAGCAACACTCAAGACACAAGATAAAAGCCAGTGCACTCCAGATTATCATTCTGCCCAGTAAATAATTCAAAAAGGTAGAACTGGCTAAACAGGTTTGCTTGGGTGCACTGCAGAAACCATCTACATAATAAATTTACTTCTTATTAACCATCTGGAAGTCTAACCTTCCACACCACATGGTATCAGTTGGTACAGTTATCAATACACCACTAAGCACCATTTACTAACGATGAACAGAATAAAGGCCTACATTTTGCTGAGCAAAACTCAGGAACMGGACATTTCAGGAGGTACAAACCACAGAAGCAGTACAGCAGATATATTTGAGTGAAGCAGACATTAGGCATAGAAATATTGGTGGGAATAGCCAAGACGAGAGCACAAATCAGTTCTAGCAGAGGAGCTAAGTCTTCCCAGGCCCCRAAGTCTGAAAAAATAACTTAAACAGAGCAAACAGGAGATGAAGTTTTACTAAAAGAGACACATGACAAGATACGGTTCCAGTGTTACCAGCCAATGTCTGTCTACCAGTGTGGTCAGAGTAAACTAGTGGCTAAAAGCAGCAGCAAAGACCTCTAGCAATGTGGATATGTTTTGGGTACCAAAGTTGGGCTACTAACGAAGTTCCATGCATGGTCTTAGAAGACTATCAGCCAGCAAGAACTTGCCCACAAAAGATCACTTCGAAAGCTAATATTCAGTTTACCTGAACTTGAGTTTCAAGTGATTTCTCTTAACTTCTTAAAGCTATGCCAATGTTTTCTGTCAAACTAAAGTACAGTTCATTTAATTTATTTTAATCAACAAGTGCAAAAAACAACATCCCAACAAAGACAAAATAAGCTAGAAAAGAAACTTCTGAGGAATAAATTCAAAACATGGGACAGTCAGAAGTCACTACTGAAAGATTAACTTAACCCGGACAGAAAATCTCATGATCTGACATAAGGCTCCAGTGGGAAGGGCTCCTATTCTCTTTGCTGCAACTGGGTCTGCTGCGACTAAGATTCTCATGCTGAAGTTATGCCTCGATGACAAAACTGAAAGATGGCCTTAAAATCCTCAAAGTCACAGCCTTAGAGCTGACCAAGAAAATCCAGGAAGCAACTGCAAATTCCCATCCTGTATCTGCAGCCTGTTAGTACTTGTTAAGAGTGGCTACAATGTCAGTGAGCAAATGGCACTTGACACAAATTCAGGAGCAAGGAAACAAGTTAAGTGCCCAGTGCCACAGTAGCTTAAACCATTTAACTCAGAGCTACTAAAATGGAAGTCATTCTCMCTTGTGCCCACAAGTTCTGTCCCCATCCCTGCGCCGGGGGTTTTGGCTCACACAACCAGTGTGTGAGCACAGAACTAACACCGGAAAACAAGATGATGAGTTTACTGCCAGATCTACTCATTCAAAGAGTTYGTTGTTTGTTAAAAGCCAGTAAATAAACTGCCCTGAAGCCAACATAAAGCTGTTGTTCACTACGACTATGCAGTGAAATATATCTCAACTTCCTTAGGTTAAAAGCATTTTATTTCTGGCTGAGGTAGTTTTAAACTTAGATCAATGCTCTGATACAATTCAAAAGGCACCAGGGGACAGGCAGGACCAATTCCAGCAGTAATGTTAAATTATGCTGCACAAAAGTATAACCTTAACACTGTTCAAAAAAACATCTCCATGTATAGCTTACTCAGAAATTTATCATAATGGCCATTTCCAAAAAAGTTAATCTTTTTCAGCTGTGGTAATTCACAATCTGCACTTCTGTCRATACTTTTATCTGCCCACAAAAACAGAGCAAACAACTTGCTCCTTAAATCTTCAGGTGAGACGGCAGGAATGGGTTCTCCGACAATTAATCAGTATATTAAGAACCAAATCAAAACAACAGAGACATCACACACAGCGTAAGGTCACTGCCTTGCTTTTACAATCCCTCAATAACATTCCTTCACATTCCCTTACACTTGGGCCTAGAAATAACAGCCTAAAATATCAAGGTGAGTATTACTTATTTCTCTTCCAGGAAATCAGGAGCGGGGAGTTCCTAATGCTACCACCCCATGTGACAGCACTATTTAAAATTGAAATATTCAAAATATGTTTTTGTTTCCATTAGCATTTTAATTCTGCTCAGCTGAGTACTGTATTTTTCTTCCTGCTCTCCAGGATCACCCTCTTACTCTCYTTCAGTCAAGGACTCTTACGTTAGCTATGGCTTATTAAATTTACATTTTCTGCCATAAATGCAGACACCCAAAACAAAGAAGTTAATACAGCCACTTCCAACAGGTGGTGAGAGTTCTCTGTTGCCAGGAAAACACACCAGGACAAGCATAACAACCCAAACAAGTCTGAATGCCATTACCATCCATACATGGAAGGAACTGTCCATCTGATTCAAAATGTCTCTTTCTCCAAAAGGGAAACCCTGCATGGAAGTGCAGGATAAACGTGAAGTACCATAACCTGAATGGGGCTAGTCCATTAACTTCATTAACTACTTCATGGAGAGTTCAGGTAGCTTAACTTGCAGACCTAAATTCTTCTGCTTTCACATGTACCTTTTATGACAAAACTAAGAATTTCACACAGAGAGGTTTAAATAGATGAAGAGACTTTAAGGTTAAGAAAGAGGCCCATGAATAGCTGAAATGAAAAGGAAATGGAGACTGGAAAAGCAGCCAACGCCCAGGATTTGTATTTATCTCAGGTATTTAGTTGAACAGCCTTAGTCTATGCTCTGAAAATGCAGAGTCAGTCATTCTCCTGGAAGTTGAGATGACAGAGGTCTAAATCTCCATCCTACCCAAGTAAACACTGCAGTTTTATTTATTAACTCACATCACTTTTGTCTGCACGTAACCCTTTTCAACAACATGCACAGAAATCTCTTTCAACTTGGAAGCCACGTTTAAAAAAAAATCTGCAAAAACAAAGATCTGGATAATCTCAAAAAAAAACCCACATGAAATGCAGCTTCTTAACTAATGCAGAACTGACTACAGCAAAAATAAACAGGTTGTGACCTCTAGAAGGTCTGTTCTACATTCATATTCAAAAAAAAACCCTAACATCCTTACTAACTATAGCAAAGCATATCCAAAATATACTTTGTGCCAACTGCCTAAGTTTTTAAAACAAGAAAATGTTTAGACATGCAATTTTGGTTACAGAAGCTCCTTTTTCTCAACAATAGTATATTTTTTAATCTAAAAAAGTTAAAACAACACCACAGAGCACAGGGACTATAAGAAAGTCACTCTACTTTCTTATACACCCAAAAAGAGACCTTGAAAGGCTCCTCATCACTACCCGAGACCCAAAATTAAAACCTAATGCTTTTCCTTTAACTTTTGTTTCCTTTATACATGACAGAAACAAAATCCCTGCCAGTACCCACCCTCTTGCCACCTATGAATTGCCCTGGAAGAACTCAAATGCATTGTCACTTGGCAAACCAGGCTAATTGCTACTCCCAAACCCAACAGTTTCTATGCTGAATGAAGTCTGAAAGTTCCTCAACCTGCTCTCCCACTATCAGCCGTGGCCTGTCAGATGCCAGAGGAAGAGAGCAGGAGCTGAAARCCCAGTACACGCTCCCTGGACACTCTCCTGCTCTTCAACCATTTGGGGGTCTAAGGCTGCCCGAGCCAGAGACAATTAATCCACACGTGTCACAACCCTCTGTGGTTTTTGCCTTTTAGGATAAACGTGACCAGTTTCCCTTGTGTAAATTCTCATCACTCRCAATGTCTCACTGAAAGGACTCCCACCAGTTAATTGTGTGTATGAAGAATCATCCCCTTTAGCTCACTGGGGACTCCTCATTCTCAACTTAGCTCCTCATTCTCAAGTTTGCACACACGGATCCAATTGATTCCCCCTCACAAAACCTTTTCCACAAAACTTTCCAGATCTCTACACACCCCACCTCAGCTTTACCTTTTGCAGGCTGAGAAGTCCTAGCCTATTCACCCCTCACACACCATCAATGTACTGTTTCCATGCCCTTTATAAACCTCCTCTACTCTTTTCTAAGATGGGGTGGAGGACAGTGGGAGAACCAGATCTGCCCTTAAACAGCACAAAATAGCAACGTAAGGAAGACTGTGCCTGCAAATTATGTTAATTTTTACAGTTTTAGAATGGAAGATTATAGTGTAAACATCTTTCTCCGTACTTCCTTCGTTAGATCCCACCYGAGATGCTTGTGGATCCACGGCAAAACTGATGCACAAATGTAACCATTTCAATACAACTACTATCAACCACCACTGCAGTATTTTTAAGTGGCAAATTAACCTCATTCAATAATTTCAGTTCTGAAAGTGAAAGAAGGTCATCATTAAAAGAAATATAAAAATAAAGGCTCCTTTCCCAAGCTCTCTCTAGCTAGTAGAGATGAGTGTCCTGAAGCACACCTGGTGATGGGCTTTTGCTTTCTATTAATCAGGCAATAAATCAGCCCACTTCACCTGCCTGATCTCCTTCATGGCAGCAGCCCATGCTGTTTGGACACTGCAAACCTATTAGACTATGAAGTTGCAGGAAATGCCACACAGCTGTTAATAAAAGATCTACTGCATAAGGAAGCGAGTGCCTACAGCACTAAGGCAGAAATTCTCCGTATCAAGCGTTTTTCCTGCTAAATAGCACACTATCACCACAGTCAATCCCCTTTCTGCTATTTTTGGGGCATGTCACATTTCTTTAAATGAGGTTGCTCTACAATGAAGCAGTAACAAGATGGCCCAACAAATCAGCCCCTAGGAAGCAGCCAGCAAGATGATTCCAGCCTGAGAAGGCAGCTTAAAATAGAGAGACAGGAGTGCATTGTTCAGACATTAACTGTCCCCTAATTTATCTGATGCCTAAATTCCTGAACACACACACAGAGCAGGAAACATTTCTAAAGAAAGGGCTCTGTGCTCATCACCAGAAACCTACTTATTTCTGGCTGGAGAATGTTATAGCCTGGTTTGACTATTTTATTTAAGCCCCTGTAAGAGATGTGAATTAAAAGGTTTTACACAACTCCCTGCAGATTTCAAGGGCTAGCATTACAAAATGAAATCAGGTATTTACTGCCACAGAACACATACACTTGTAATAAAACGATGCAGGAGCTGTTCAAAGCATTTATCACAGACAGCTGAGAACACTTCATTAAGATACTATGTTCACATGAACATACAGCATAAAATATCTGSTAGGGAGATACAGAAATTCTATATACACTAACACAGTCAATAGAAACAGGAACATCTTCAACCAATTTCTTCAGTAATATATGTCAGCTTGAGATTCATGATTAAGTGTCTTGGTTTGAGACACATACTYACATAGAAAGCTACAGTGCTAATAATAAAGAGTGTATTTTGGTTCCTAGAGTTAATAATTAATAGTAGTAATAATAAAAGACTGAATTGAAACTACAAATCAGCCTCTGGAGCAAACTTAAGTTACACCCAAGAACTTAAAAGAAAATCCTATCTTTAAATTTATAATTTGAGTATAAAGAATTATTTTCTAAAAATATACTGAAATCTTTAACCTCCAATCTACAGTGTTAAAACACCAAAAAAACCCAGCAGTGAGTAACACCACAACCTCCTCTGCAAAGCTACCTCTCCACWGGCACCATGTGATAGCTGCAGATTCACACGCACAACCGAGCCACACTCTTGAGAGCCCCCTGAGAGCTGCACATCTCTGCATCTCTCCAGCCCCTCAAGAAGCAGAGTTGGGGGCACTGAAGTTGGAAACATCCAATTACTGGATATTCCAAAGAGCACAGAACAGTCCCTTAGAGGCACAAGGGCTTCCCTCTCTCCCCCAACCTTGGGTCAAGTATTATTTATTTCCTTYGAGTCAAGTGTTACTTATTAAGTGCATTAGCTCTGCCATGCAAACTGCCACTTCCCCTTATAATCTGTACCGTATCCGGATTTCCCTTCCTCTCTAATAAAAACAAGCCTCTTTCCTCTTAGTCCTGTGAAAATCCAAGCTAGGCACCCTGATTCCAAACCAAAGCCCCAATCAGTATCTTTTGTATCTCTTCTGTAGGATAAAATCTAAATTGTATCTAAACCTTCCTACAGGATTCTCCTTCCACACATCTCCTTATCAGCTCTTCCATCCCAGCTTCTCTCTCACAAAAAAMGCCTCCAAGGTGGCCAACATTCTCTTGCCGGGTCCTAAAAAGAGACTGTGATCCTAACAGTGACATCCATCCAAAGCAGTGGCCCGAGTACTCATCAAATCCCTCCCCGAGGGCCCTAAGGAGGAATCCTGTAGTCTCCTGCTGTCAAAATACACCCCGAGGTGCACTCCAGTCACAGCAGGCTGGCAGTGTCAAATCTGGGAAAGCAGCTCGCCAAAGCCAAAGCACACCGGCCCACAGCACAGGAAAACCTCATAGAGGTCACWTATATGCCTTTAAGTGACTCTGTTTTCAAACAATGAATGCAGGGGAGTGGAGGAACTCAAGTTAAAGGTGGCTAAAGTGCTTGTGGAGTCAAAGAACAACTAGCAAAYGTTTAAAAGGCAGCTTTTTGATTAGGGACGATGGAGCTCCATTTCCGGAGATGGACACAGTGTCAGCCCCGCACCGATGCCACCGCCTCACCTCTCCCACGGCCGCGTTTCCCGCGGTCTGAAGGCCTCTCCCCTTGGTTGYTGTCCACTCCATTCTCTTCAGCTCTAACTGTGGAGAGAGGAGAGCTTAAAAGAGGCTTTAGCAACTCGCACATGAGACAATATAACCAGCTGCTTAATCTGAACCCCCAAAGAAAAGCCAAGATTAAAAAGTCAAGTCAAAACTCCCCCACCTTCCTTGGCGTTCTAGCTACAAGCAATTACATTTACTCTGCACTAAAAGTAGAAAGCAAGGAGGAAAATGTCCTTCAGCATACATGTTGGTGTTCTCTAAAAAGAGGTTATGATTTGGGCTCCACTGTTAATTAGCAGGGCCTCACCTCGCAAAAAAGCAGGAGCTGCCCTTACACCATTCTTCCTTGATAATGAGCTGCTTGTTAACAGCGAAAGAATAAGAGAAACAAATAGAGAGGCTCTTCTGGTGATTATTACATCCCTAAACAACTAGGGAAACTTAAAAGAACTCTCCTCTCTGTTTAAATTAGAGAAGGAAGATCACTAGAAAGTGTGCTGTTAAAAAGCGCCGCAATTTCTGTTCTGCAGGAAACTTCCAGACAAGTTCCCAGGAAAGCCGGCTCACTCCCTGATGGAAAAATCCCTCGGTAAAACATTACTGAGCATTTTGTGCTGCACAGCTTCTCTCAGCTGCAGCAACAAAACCCCACATAGGTGCCCAGAAACGTGAGAAGAGAATATCTCAAGACGGGGTAACCATTTGAAAGTCTTTAATCCCAGTACAGAAAAGCAGTCAAGCGGCATCTGGCTCTTGCAGAAATTTCCCCACAACCAGCTTTGATTTCGATGCATTTGATTTTTGTTTGTTCCAAATGCAGTTGCAAGATTCATTAATATATTTTCTTATCTTAATGTTAATATATTCTAGAAAGATTCATGGCATCTTAGTTGTCACAATATTTGAATATCTTCCAACCATAAACTTGATGTTGGCTAATGCTGTAAACTGTTTTCTTGCTTGTAGGGAAAAGTTCTGCTTCTTTTTTTTTTCTTTCTTCATTTCCATTTTTCTTCTCTCATATCAGTGTTTTACAAGGCTCTCATAAGCAATACGTACAGCTTAGATATTGTTGATAAAATAACTTAGATTAAAAGGAAACACACACAATGGTGATCTAATGTCATGCTTTTTAACTCAGAAAACATCAGCCCTCTTTTGGGCAATATGTTATTAAACCTGTATAAACTGTAGCAATTTTTAAAATGTTTCAATTCACCAAGCACTTTCTCTGCTGTAGAAACTCACCTTTGGCTGGCTTTTGAGAGTAATATATGCTAGAGGTTAATAATGAAGCCAGTCTTTTCATTCCTCTTATGAGAAGAGGAGAACTTCTTCAAGTTCTCATACTCACAAAAGGAGAGATAGTCAAAGCTGGATTTTTTTTTTATTAAAAAAACCCAAAAATGTGTATCTGCTACACAGTAACATATTTTGCTCTCAAGCAGTTTTACAAAGATTCAATTCTAAAACTTAGATAAAAGAACAGCAGTTTGCCAAAGATCAATTAATCAAAAAGACAGAAGTTTAATTTAAACCAAGTCTGTCTCTGAAAAATATATACAAAAAAGTCACATAGAGGGATCAAGCATACCTGTTGCACGACAACAGGTTATAACAACTTTAGCACAGAGCTATAGCTCTCATGGATGTTATTCCATTAAGCCATAACATCCAATAACATCCATAACATCCAATCCTTGGATGTTATTCCATTAATTCTCAACTCAACCAGTTTCAGCTGCAAGAAAAGCATTTAAATCTTTCCAAACCAGCCCCTATACGTACACTCTCGGCCACGGCTGCCTCCTCTTCCCCGTCTGTTGGAACTTCCCCGTCCACGACTCACTTCTCTGTCCCCTCGTTTTTCTCTGTTTTCTTTGTTTTCTGAACTTTCCTTTCCAAGGCTTTTCTTCTTTCCCCCTACAGTCTCCCACGAGGTCTATTTGGGTAGAATAGAATTAAATACGAAAGTCAAAACCAGAAACAAGTCAGTTCTCTATATGCTCCCACCTCATACCCCTTTCATGGAAAAAAACAGGTATTTGTGTAATGCCACACATGTAATTCCTAAGAAAACTGCACTGACACAAATGGGGAGAGGAAAAAGCCTGGGTTTTTTTGTTTTTTTGAGAAGATGAGAAAGAAATGAGTTTTGGAAGTTTAGTTTTCTCTTGGAAGGGGAGGAATCCCACATATCTTTGGCCATAATGGACCTCAGTAAGTCCAGCCTAGAAAGACCACACTGGAAAAATCTGCAAAATAAGCAACAGTTTTCAAACCATCTACATAAATCTAATGAGGGAGCATGCACAGAATATTTTTCTTACAAGGAAAGGAAAAAATGCYTGTAGGAATCACCGAGTCTATGGCATCAGCCACAGACCGATGAGAATATCCYAGGAAGGGTCAGGGGAGAGGGAAATACACACACACAAAATATATTGGTCAGATCTAGAAGAATCCAAGCACTGATAGCCAGAAAGGCAGAATAAGAGCTCAGAAAATGAAGCCTGTGAAATAAATTCAGGGATCACATCAGCGACACAGGCACATCTGTCACAGACACGGGAGTTGAAAACAAAATAACTAAAACACATGCTGAGAAAAGGATGACAACTGGTATATTATGTAATAGCACAGAGAGCCTATTAAGRCACAGCTGCTAAGCAAAGAAAAAAACATCTTTTCAAACCACTAAAATAGCAGATACACTTATATAAATGTCAGGAGTCTCCACCTCAAGGAGCTTGAAGTATAGATAATATGGTCACGTGGGGAAATTGCATATAGAAATACAGTRCCATCCAATGTGAAGCACTTGACAAAGCCATGAACTCAAAAAAGCAGCTMCATCAAAGAAATAGTTTGGATATCAGTTATTTTAGGTCCCGCCCTGCCCTCCTCTCAGTTCAGACAAGCTAGGCAAAGACCAGCTAATCTGAGCTGCCTATAACCTTAAAATACTCGTGTTATTGAGAATGCTGGTGACAAATCAGCTGACAAATATAAACTCAGTGACTCAGAGAGCCTATGCTAGGGATACCACAAGTCTCATTATTTGAAGCAGTGCAAGCGAGAAATAAGGTTGAAATCGGTTTGAAATTTGGTCTCCAGAATGAGTGTGGGCCAACTTTGGTGGACTTTGTGTCTGAAAAGTCTTCTTTATTCTAGTTGTAAAAGTTTTAGCCAATAAAATATGCTCTTATGCTCTGCTCTCCACACCAAGCCTCTTGTATCCAAGGCCAGACTGTCACAACCCCTCCAAGGAAAAGGTCTTAAAAACTAACAGTCACAATGAATAAAGCCTTATTATTTGTAACTTTAAATTTAAACTTAATACTTATAAAAGAGGACAAAACTTGCAGAAAGCGAAAGAAATTACAAAACTTAAAGCTCCTCAAATCATTCAATAAATCCTTCAAATGAGGTTGAGATAAGGAAAATAAMAAAAAAAGGATAAATGCATCAGAACTACTAAAAGAGATGGTGGAATCTGCATTCAAAACGAGTAGTACCACTGCTACCAAGCTTACATCAAATCCATGGTCAAATTGTTTTGGAGTATAGTGGCCTTACAGCAAACCCTTCAAGTTTGGAGGCCYACATGTTTCCATGAAGAAAACATTTCATCACCTTCTGATGAGGACCCTTTTAATTGACACTCTTTCTTCCTGCCTCAACSAGGCCTTTAATTTCTCTGTTTTCCTTTCTGAGCTGTATTTTGTCTTTGAGCAGTAAGTTCTCCCATATCAAACACTGGATATGCTCCTTCTAATTGATAACTGAGTTCAGAACAATTTCTTCCATGCCATGATTACTTCCAACTATTTGCTAAGCTGAGACAGCATTTAACATTCTTTTTCAACTACAAAACTACTTTCAACCAGAAAATGACAAATACAAAAAGTATGAGAGAGTACARAAAAGGTTGGCAAGTTCCCAAGATAGATTTTATCAAGGTGAGATGCTATCTTCAACTCCCAACTTACCCACTTACTTGGCAGCATCTATTTCTGGGCTTTAGATCATCTCAATTCTTAGAAAAGGGGAGGGAAAAGGGAGTCCCTTCAATCAGAAGGGCTTGTGTCCTAGACATTAGCCAGGGCAAGAGGGGCGTTTTCCTCATTAACAATAAGCAAGAGTGCATATCCTGAAAAAACATGAGACACTGAGTGTTCATTAGTCAAAAAAAAATTAAAAAGGAAGTCCAAGTTTCTTTCCTTCTTTAGGTGAGATGGAAGCTAGTTGGCTTTCTCTGGTATACATTGAAAATCCTTCCAGCAAAAAACTGCAGACACAGCAAGAAATATGCCTGATATTTCCTGGGGTAAAAAAAATACTGTTCTATGCCAACTTATATGCAACACTGTTTGCTGTTACACACTGTTTTAGAGTTTTCTTTCTGCTCTTCACTAAGGCTAATGCATAACTTAGTGAAAGCAACTATTTGCCTCTTCCTCTTCTCCCTTTATTAGAGCGTTTAATGCAACCTGCAGAYGTGGGCACCTCTTCCTCCTTCTATACCTGCAGCGCATACCTATAGAAATAAATTATAACAATATATCTGTCTCCCCTTCTAGGCTTATAAAAAATGATCTTTGTTTTAAGCACACAGCATCCCTTATTCTGGAGCTCATCCACAGCCCTGACATAATATAGGACAGTATCAGACAGAGCATTCAGTTCTATGACAGAATTAAAATTGTTGCACGGAGAGGAAAAGCTGGAAAACTCTGCAGGAAACTCATCACATTTTCAAAGTTTGGACTACTCCAAGGTATACACATGACTAAAAAATTGCCCTGGTCTCCATTTCCTTCAGAGGAATTTGAAAGGCAAGACGGAAATTGAAACCTTCCAAAACACACGCATGACTTTCYCGAACACTTCTTCAAAGCAGAAAGGAGCAAGAGACAAAAAGCAGTTTAAGATAAAAGTAAATCCTTACTGTGTCTGAACTTCCTTCCAGCAGTATGTTGATTGCTCTGTTCACGTCCCCATTGCAGTCATGTAGCGCCACTATGCACTCATCCTGGTTTTTCCCCGTCACTTCCATAAGCTGGCAGTAAGAGTCAGACATGTTAAAACATTAAAATTATCATCGTAAGAAAAATAAGATTAAGCACCATGTAGTCTCCAAGAAAGTATGTGGCTACTGTGTCAAAGACAACTAAAAATCTTAATAAAGGTACCTTCATTTTACAGAACTGCTTGGGATTCAAGCAGGAAACAGAACTAAACACAAATTGTAAACACGTTTCACACAATTGCTTAGGATTCAAGCAAGAAACAGGGCTAAACACAAATTGTAAATGTAAGTCCTATTTTTTTTTCCTCCAGTAAACACTGTCACCACCCAGATGGCTGTCTATAAGCAAACAGATGCAAAAAACCTGTATAGCTCTAGTGCTCTGGGCCAAACATCGCCCTCTCTGCTCTATCGTGTGAGAACAGCCACAAGGTAAATAATGGCAGAGAATTGATTCATCTGGAGAAGAACCAAGACCCAAGGGGGTGGGAAAAAAAAAAAAATTAAAAAAAAAAGGTTATTTTTCAGCCAGAGCAGCTCCCTCAGTCCAACTCAGCACGAGGCCACACAACTGGGCATAACCAAGGGCTGCTTATGGACACCTGGGAGTGAATTAGGTTTTGTGAGCCCAGGATGTGCATCCTGTGGAGTGTAAGATGGATATAATCACAGCCTCTGCTATGGCAAATCTAACAACAYCCAGAGGAGAATTGTATGAGCTAGAAATAAACAAAGGCAAAACGCTGGTGATTTCCTATGCAGGATTTTTAAGTCTTATCCCTTTTCCCAGCAACAGGGCCCCAGGCGATACTGGTCAGGGCTGCAGGCTTCAGGAAGAAATAGAGAACTTCACCTCTGGCAAAACTGCCATAGCAACATAAGTAGTTTACCAACAAGAACAACAAAATGCAGTCAACAACTCCTCAGGTAAGGTTTTACAGAGGAAAAAAAAAAAAAAAAACAGCAAGTCAAGAAATCTGTCCCTCTGCTGCATTAATGTTTCCACACCAATTCCTGTCTCCTTCTAGGAGCATTGCTAAGTTCTACATGAGCTGCGTTGTGTTCACTAGTCTCCTATGATAAGATCACCAACACCCACAGCAGAACAAGGACTTGAACTCTCTGCATTGCTGGAGTTAATGATCTCTAATATAATCAGCAACAGAAGCTTGGATATCTACACTAAAGATGCAGTGCAATACAGGAAATGGTGTGATTAGATTGCATTTTAGTAGTGCAGTTTTATCACTTTATTTCATAGACAATATTAAAGACTTGGGAGCTCTTTTTTTTTTTTTGTTGGTAATAAAACTTAAATTCACCTGTAAGCTATAATCAGCCTTTCTCTTTTCCCCTGAAAAGCAGCCAAGCAAATTCACTAATAAGGGGATAAATTTTCCTCTTAGGCATTTCCATGCAAACAAGCTGAATATACTCTGTGCTTTGAAGATCTTTAACTGGCAGGGCCTTACTAGAGAGGTACAGTCTGTGAGAGACATCAGCACAGATGAACGTGGGCATCAYAGCTTATCCACCAAAGAGAGTACACAGCATATCTATAAGCCAGAGCTACACTGCTGCAACTTCTTATAAACAGACTTTTGTTGGGCAATAAGAGCATCTTTTCCTAGTTAAACTTAAGTCATTCTGAAAGTGGCTTGATCCAAATCATAAGCAGCAACTCTAGTTCCAAATTGTAAACTAACTTATGAGTATCATATTGCAGAGTATAAAAACGTTGTRCTGAGAGAAACATACTTGTTTCACTTTATCTTCAAAATCTGCATCATTCTTATCATAGATCATCTGAGCGAGGCGAATCTGTTCTGCTGTTGCCTGAAAAATACAAACATCCAGTAATATTCACAAAAGGTAAAAATATATTTTTAAAGTGTCTCTTAGCATTGCTTTCTTTCTTTTTTTTTTTCCCCCTCTCCTGATTGTCAGAAATAATATAGGGAACATACATAGAGGGAAAAGATGTTAATCTCTTCCCCTATTCCTAAGTTTACAGTCAACAGCTTTTCTAGGACCATGGAAGTCTCAACATGTTCTACGTTTGGACCACAATTCAAGGTTACTACTTAAAGGCAACYTAATCACTTACTTAAAATTTGCTATGGAACCTATGCTTTGATATATTACTTCTACTTTTAATTAGCAACTGTGATTCCAGATAGGTGTTACTCTCATCATGAGAAGTGGGCAGCAGCGCTTCCGTGTGAACTGCATCTCCAGCAGTTCCTGCCCGCATCCCCTCTACGACTCCAACAGTGTCAGGACTCCACAGACTTAGGAAGTTAATAGGAGGCTGGGTTGTCTCTCAAGATTTTGCCTGTAAACAGCTGTGCTTCTCAGCAAGTCATACATCGGAATACGCTATGGGTGTCCCAAGGGAAAAGCAACTCAAGAATACTAATGTATCAGATAAAGCCAGATTTCAGAGTGAGGTATTTGTGGTCTACATGAACAGCATTCCCAGGAAAAGAGCATAGATAACTAGGTCATACAATCCTGGACTTCATTTATTGTCTGCTTATACAGAAAAGGCTTCTAGCTCTAGCTAGGGAAGAAGGTTGATCATGGCGAGAGAACTAGGATCCCAAATACAGATTGCAGCGTTGAGAACGTTTTCTTCATGGCCAAAGTATCCCAACATCCACTGAAATTCCTGATTAAAAGGATTCGTCCTGGGCTTTCCAAGTCTCACTTCAGAGAATACCAGCACCAAACGCAGTGCCTTGAACGTTCAAGTGTCCAACCTCTTCTATTGCTCTGCTTCTGGAGTTTGCCACACCGAGGAGGTGTGGTAGGTCACCAAGAGCAAACGCTGAGAAGAGTCTAAAAATTACTCCGACACACACCATCAGCTGCTGACTTGCCGAGAAGTGACTGCAGCTGTCCCAGTTCCTTGAGGGAAGTGACACTTGTCACGCTGAGAGGCGACGTTCCAAGACAATTACTGTGTTTGTAACCGAGTTAAGCTCTCTGYACTCCTTCACGTTTTCAAAGTGTCCTGCTGACGGCTTCATACATCAGCTGGTGACATAAATGGGATTGCTCTGGAATTCCCCACTCCCGGCCTTGTGCTGCACCTACACGGAAGCATCCCAGGCAGCACCCGGAGCAATGAACCCCTTACTCAGTGTCTGTTAAGGGCTCAGTAGAGAACAGAAAGGTCTGTCCGTTTCCAGAATCAAGCCATATTACATCCTCTCACGCAAACTTCAGGCTCCCCAGATCCACCGCAGCTGCTAAACCAGTGAAGAGATCTCTGCTAAAGGTACCCAGTGTGAAAAAAACATTTCGACAACAATGCGATTTCTGTATATGACAGCATATTTGACCAGAAAAAAAAAGTCATTAAATGACATTTTTATTAACTCAGTATTTTAAGTTCATATTTGAAGACAAAATATACAAATTTTCTAACACCTTATGAAATGTGGGACAGTATCTCCAGCTTTCCTGTGCAAACAGAGGCACTGCAAACACAAATAGGTCCAGCAGTATTAACATTTATGTCAGTGCCCTACAGCCAGCAGATTAAATTCAAAGGCAGAGGGAGACGGGAAGTCAGAAAAAAAAAAAATGTTTTTGCTACATAAACATACAAACAAATCCCAAAATCACTGTCCAAACCTTTTTCTTTTTACCTCAGTGACTAGAGTTCTCCTTTATTTTTAAGGCATCAGTTTAACAACTAACATTGTATCATTCTAGACAACACTGTGATCAAGTTTAAATAAAACTTTATGACTAAGAAAATGCTATCATCTTAAGACAGCTAGAACATTACTCTCACTTTGCAAAGAATATAATCTTCTCAGTACAACTAAAATAAGGAGAATTTTTAATCCACTTACAAGTATCAGAAGACAAAAGTGAGGAAAACAAAGTGACAATGATATACCCAAATACTATATAAAATATTTATTGTCCAGAAGTAATGGAAAAAGTGCTATGTCATTTCTTAAATAGCTAAAATTATGATCAATGTAACACTTAAGTCTCCACTTGGGAAAGCGACCCACTTCTAGATTCAGAAAGAAGAATCAATGGCAAACAAACAATAAAATCCCACATATTGCTAATGATAAAGCTTGTCTAAGCAGAAATTTCTATCTGATACCTGAAAAATAAAAAGCATGATGCATTAAAACATATTGGTTGTATACTAAATAGCATCTTCTCCRTTCAATACATCAAACAAGTATCCATTATGCAAAAGGAGAAAAAATATATTCAGGCAAAACATAGAAACACAGTTGGATATAATGCTTAGAATCACTGAATTATGCAGGTTTGAAAGGACGTGCTGCTGAGTGCAGAGGGAGCTTGTTGCTTTGGGCCTCACCTAGCCAAGTTTTAAACACCTCTGTAGACAGAGGTGCCGTAACTTCTGCAACATACAAGTACTCCAGGACTGAACCACTGAATCACCTGCACTGCAAGCCATATTTTTCTTGTAACAGCCCAGAACCTCCCATGTTCCAGCTCGGACCATTGCCTCTGAGAAGACTCTGGTTCCATCTTCTTCACACCTTGTCATAAGGCACCTGGCTGGAGGCGCAAGCTCTTGCCTTCGTTCCGTCCTCTTATGTTTGAACAAAACCATTTTCTTCACCCCTCCCTCATTCATTCTGTGCTCCAGCCACAAGCCCCATCTTTGCAGCCCTTCACTAGGGCTTGTAAATGCAAAAAATAAACAAACAATCAGAGGGAAGAATCACCTCCCTTGACCTGCTCGCTACACTCCTTTGCTGTCCTTAGCAATCTTAGTTGTTATTAAACAAAAACAATTTGACTGCTTCTGCTGAAAGTGACTTTCTAAATCACGTTTGTTCATATAATTAATACTATATATAACATTACAGGAGCCCCTGCATGTTAAAGACCTGTCTGAAAAACAGTAAAAGATGCCACTTCTAGAGGGAAGCAACTCCAGACTGATGCATGCCSCACCAGCAGAGAACCAAGGCAATTCTTGAATCGTATCCAAAGTGGAGAAGTACCTGACAACAGAATAACAAGTTGCCAGGAGCAGAGTAATTTCACACCTTCTGCAACCCTGAAAAACACAGAACTTAACTACCATGTTGCCAAGTGTGAAGACAACGGGATGACAGCTTAATTTCTGTCTCATCAATACTGAAAATAGGCTGTTTAATTGACTAAGAGACCTTCATCATTTCTGTGAAGACACTCTGCACAAGAAGTTCAGAATTTCACAACTTGCAGTTGTGCTGAATCATGCTGTGCAGCACGGGACCCATCCAGCAGAAGCTTTTCCCACCCACTCCAATTCCCATAGCAATGGGAAATCTTCCAGCACCATGAGGACAGCATAGAAAGAGCTGAAATCTGAGGACACCGATGCCACCAGACAAAAATCTCAACATAAGCACAGGCATAGAAATCCTCCCCGATGGGAAATATTGCTGAAGATGACAAAATTCAGTTAAGAGASAAGAATACAAGACCAAGTATATCCTGTGTTGGGTTACCACGCATTTCAAATGAGATCTCAAACATACTCTTCCAAATATGCTACCTAGTGACCCCTCCCCTTCTTTTCTTAGCTTTTAATAACTTATGGAAGAAGTGCATATCAAAAACTRATTATAACCTCTTGAATCAAGGAAGGCCATGCAGTAGCACATACCTGTACTACTTGTTTCTGTGGTTGCGTTGGCTGTGTGGCTGAAATCTGTGTTTTATCCCGAGTGCCCCGGGTACGTTCACTGCCCACCGAAGTCATCATATACAGTATATACAAAACAATGTATGTACAAAATAGAAAATCTGAAAGAAAAAAAACAAAGTATGCGTTAGGACAGGGCACAGATTCAATATTCTGGTAATATAACAGTGCAGTAGACTTGATGCGTATTCCATGCAAGAAGCTCCCGAGAAATCAACTTAAATACACTGTGTTACTGCGTTTATTGCACAGTCTTTATAGCAAAGGGAAAACGCAGAGCGCAACAGCATCTTTAGCTGATGTGGATCTCCCTGGCTCTGTACGTCCAGGCTACATCATATTTTTCCAGTTATTTAAGATTCAGACCTTCCTATCTGTCTGTGTGCTGAAATTTCAGCTCCAGCTGTACCACTCCTTACGGTTCTGTAACACCTATCTTGTTTTGACACTTGGAATTTTACCACGCTCACATCCACGCCGCACATCCTGCGGAGACCTGCCAGGCACCATCAGCTGGAACACGGTGTTCTGCTCTTCCTCATCATTCAATTGTTTTCTTGCACTTTTAAGGAGGTCAGGGCCAATGTCCACTCTACTTCTTGGCCTCATTTGTAAGAGAAATGATAATCCTTGCCCTTAAAAAAATCAAGCTTCTGTAGTCAATACTCTTGTGTTATTTTGTCTTCTCTTTTCGTATTTAAAACTTGCCACCACCTTGTTTTACACATACCTTTGTTGCAAGATCATAAAAACAGCTCAAGCCCCAAAACCACATGCACATACCCCTGTAACCCTGTTGGGTTTTGTATGCACCAGTCATTCTAACACATCTCCTATCAATCTAAGTACTTTGAAACAAGAAATGTGTCCCTCCGCACCGCTTGTACAGCATCTAATACAACAGCAACYGATGAACATGGTTTATGGAAGTGGTAATAACGGAAAACAGATTTCTCAACCGATCAGAAAAGCGGTGGCCAACAGCCTGGTTTCTGTCTCCCCATCACTGGGAAGTGAGACCGCGAGTTGAGGGAACTGAAGTCAACCTGCAAGCTGCACCTGGGCCCACAGAGATGTGCAAGGAGGAAAAAGACCTTCAGCCTCAACCCAAGAACCGGCCTCAGCCCACGACTCACCAGCACAGGCAGCTCTGCTTCAGGTTGGTACCGCAGTTTAGTACACAAGAAAGCTTAGACACAAAGCTACCAGGATTGCAGGGACAAGGATGTGTTCAATGGCAATTGGATGTTCATAAAAAACACATATACTGAAGAAAACTCGAGCAGTTATGTGCAAAAATTAAAACTGCACTAACATGCCACAGTTTAAATACTGATTCACAAAGCTCGGGAGTCTCGCGTAGAAATCCAAAAGCCCATTAATCCCACTATGATCTAAATACCTTCTTCAATTTGCACATACATTTTCATTGACCAAAATTGAGCTCTGACACGGAAATTCTTTACGTGATAGTTAAAGGATTCGATACAGCGCGAGGAGAAAGTGGATTTCCATGAACTCTTGCATATTTAACAAGAAAAGGCCTGYCTTTACCAGGAACTGCCTGCAGTATGATCTGAATGGGAACACAGCGTTTCTTCAGCTTTATGAATACATACACTAAAGGCAGCTCTTAAGGTAGTCTAACCTTGTTGTCTTCCAGGCCCCAGAACAAACAAACCTTCATGGCACCCAAAAGCCAGACACAATCGGGAGAGACRTAACTCAAGCTCATCTGACAAAACGTTCCAAGGAAAGCAAAACATCAAGTAGTTTTRGTGACGTTTTGCACAGCAAGTTCAATGCTTATCACAAACTCTCTGGTCATGGCTCTCCATTGGTGTTTCAAACACATCTCGTAGAGTCCTCAGTTGAGTCTACGGTAAAAATCAGTTTCTCTTTTTGTTAAAATGTGTTTTATAAGCTAAGATGCCTGGACTTGCAATGTCCTAGGCCTAACTAAAGTTTATGTACACTAATTATCACCCTGGAGAAATCTTTTTTTTTTTTTTTTTTCCTTCTTCTCCTCTGAAAGCAGACAGTTCATCACCACTTGGACCTAGCAAAAGGATCCAAGGTAAAAAGCCCTGAACAGAGAACTCAAAGAAGACTAAGTTCTCTCTCTGAAAGATAAGCTAGTGGTTTCAAATAAGACTGCCTAGATTTACCCCATTTTCACTGAAAATATACTGAAAAACTGTAACTCCACTTAATTTCAGTTTGTTGATCATTTCTAAATCAAGATCATGTTTAAACTGATTACGGTGGCTAAAAATTTCAGCTTAGCTTTCAAATACCTATTTCTCTACTTACACCACACAAAGCCACACTAAGTACTGAAATCCACATTTTAGACACGGTTGGGATATTTTCCACCTGTGATACCCAGGCACCACATGGTTCCTGCACAGGATGATGTTCCTGTGTCACATCTATTGAAGTCATGCTTGTTTCTCAGGGTGGAAGGAAGGAGGAAAGCGCACAAATACTTGAAACACTACAAAACTACAGTGATGAGCAGCAAGACCAGCCTGCCAACGGGAGGAAGGCCAAACCACCTTAAAATGGGAGCTTTTGAGGAGATCCTAATCTTGCTGACCACATAATCCATGACAACAAAAGTTGGTTAAAGAGCTAAAGTAGCAACCATAGCCAAAGAGAGAGCCCTTTTAGGAAGCAGGACGGACTCCCACTTGCTTCAGACAACTGCACAATCTACTAATTAAATGATTAATTGATCCCACTACTGATGGTGCCCTGATCAAAGGAACACGGAAAGCACTTTGCTGGCCCCCTCATGCTTAACTCTACATTGGTGAAACTGCACATGCTAACTACTGCATTAGCAGGTACAGGCGGGTAGATACCCACTGCTTTCACATTAGCACCATGACTACAATTTTGAGTGTTTTAACTGGACTAATATCAAAGATGGGGTTGGACAAGAATACCATTTCAGCTTCTACCTACCAGCTTCTGTGCCCTGATCCTATGTGTTAAATCTGCTTAGCAATCTGCTGAGTAGGGTGTCACAAATTGCATTTTAACCTCAGACCACGTGATGGAAGAAGGTGGTCTGAGGTTTGGAAGGAGAAAACTCCTAATTAAATACTAGTTTAATAAAGCTAAAAAAAAAAAAGTTCAAAAAGCAGGTCTTGCATTTTCCATGTCAAGATCTGGCTCAGTACARAAGTCCCTCATCAGCAGCTAACATTTGACCTTGGAGACACACTGCAACTCCACAAAGCAGCTACAACAGCTGTATTTTGAAGAAACTGATACAAGTTAAATCAGAACCTCAGAGCATCAGCAAAAAAAAGGAAGAGAAAGCATTAAGAAAAAGAGAGGAAGACACTGGACTTTCCAAAATTATTGCGTAAAGAAGCACGAGATTTCTGGAAGCCCTTCTTTCCCTGAAGTGAAATCAGGATCTCCAGAAGGGAATGGAACTTTCAGGATCTTCCCATAAAGCAAATGGCTGTACTTCAAAATGGAAAGCAACAGAGGCATTTAATGAGACATCACCTCAAGCCTCAAATTTGTTGTCTCAGTGTTTCTGTCCACGCAAGTTTCGCCCAAGAACACATTACAACAACAGCAGATACACGAGATATACCACTGTATCACCACCAGCACCRGACCCATGATGGAATAGCAATGACCAGGCCTGAAGGGTACCCGAGTACCTTACCTGAATATCCTACCTCAACATCCAACCTCTCTGACGAGACCCCAAAAGTCTCTGTGTTGTCTTCTTCAGCACATTTACTTAGGTTTTTGCTTTGGATTGTAAAAGGAAAGGAGACAAACAGYCAAAGGGTAAGTGAATACATATCAACACAGCAAGGAAGCTTTTTAGAGTCATATTAATATTAACTCTTTCTTCAATTGTATGCTTAAATTTTCTTGGGCAAAACAATCGAGTCCTTTTGGACTCAAGATAAGCTAGAAAAACTAGAGACAGGCCCGAATTCAAATCCATGTGCCAATGTGGGCAGATGAACGAGAGTAAATCTCTTGTGAAACAGTGCAGGTTCCGCACACCACTTGGCTTTCCGGAATCCTTCTCAAGTTAAATATTCACTTCCATCAGCTGAACACAACATCTGCAGTTTCAGTTCTTCTCCTCAGGCAAACACAGGAGAATTATTTTCTTGGCTCTCAGGCCAAGGAGCTGTGATAACACTGTGCAGAGATCTCTGTGAACACCCCAAAAGAATGAGTGCTTTTTTATTCTGTAATTACAAAAGCTGCTCAATCAAGAATTTCTTGAAATGACAAGGCTGGGAAAATGCTGCAGGGCACTGCCTCATGATGACATGACTGCAGTACACRTGCAGTGAGCCCAAGTTTTATTACGAGCTTTGGACTGACTMCCTATACAGCTCTGGCATGACATGWTCTTGAGGAAGAAGGACACRGGAGAAAAATTGCATCTGCAAAGCATCAATACAGTGCATTTCCTGTAAGTACTGCTGCCCAAGATCCTCACCAGCTTTATTATTGCTTGAAAGCAATAAGCACTTCTCAAAAGTCAGATCTCTTCACGACTGGTGCTGTTTCCTCAGTGCTTGAAATCCCCTAGGCCAATAGCACCCAATCTGAACTCGTGGAAGGGTTCCTACGTTGTCACCTGAGAACAACAATCAAATGAACAACATYGACGGCCAAGAGCAAACTCTGGCACTGGCAAAACTCCCCAGAGAGAGAAATTGTTCTCCCTGTGTGCTCTCTGGATTCACCAACAGAAAAGCACTACAGAGAGCAGGGCACCCAAAGCCTGTCCTGGGTATCTGGCTCAGCAGTGGATTGAGCACATCTGGATGAAGGTTAACACTTCACATCTGGCTTTCTATCACATTCATTGCTGCTGCCCCACTAGTTCTTAGTCTCTCTCCACGTCGTGTCCACAAAATGTACAGATGTATGCACGTTAAACAGTATTCCAAACCCTCACTTTGAATTTCCTATAACATATAAAGTTAGTTAATACTAAAACCCATCTTATCTTCATTGGTAGGTAATTTAGTTCATAAAACACTTTTAAAACATTCTTGCCTAAACCTGTTCTACCGAATGAATGCCCTTCAAAAGTAGACCA